GGTATCACATTATGTATCATGTGTAGGGTTACATTTAGATATAGATTCTATGTATTTAAATTAGAGCTTAATAATTTAAAGCTTGTATATCTTATGTATCATGTGTAGGGTTACATTTAGATGTAGATTCTATGTGTTTAACTTAGGGTTTAATGATTTAAAGCATGTATAGCTTATGTATCATGTGTTGGGTTACATTTAGATGTATCTGTGTACTTAAACTATAGCTTAATGATTTTATAGCATGTGTAGACTATGTATCTTGTGTAGGATATTGCTATATTTAGTAACTTATTAAATTCTAGAGATTTCATAAGTATTGTGATAATGAACTTTTGTAGAATATTAAATATATTACTTGTAAGCTTATTACTAAATTGTTGTAAATTTGTAGCTTACTTTGACGATGAGATAGCATGATATGTGATATTATGCCTTGTATGTGTAGCGAATCGCACATTGAAGATTCGACATTTATGCCTTGTGTGTGTAACGAATCGCACATTGAAGATTCTACATTTTAAATGTCATTTTAGACTTGAAACCCTAGGACATGGCTTGTGTGGCTTCAACTCTACTTGTGCATGGAAGGTGGTTTTTATACATTATCTAATTTTGTATAAGTTTTGGACTTATTTTGGAAATAGTTGGGACATCACACAATTTGACATGGCTAGGTCAAGGTCTTAGTACGGAGGATAAGAGTTCCCCCTACAAATATAGTGCGCACTTGGATTGTTCCTGTGGGTCAGTAGCCCGAAGTAACTGTCGACGTCTAATACGCACTTGGGTTGTTCCCGTAGGTTAGTAGCCCGATTAACTTCTACACCTTGGTACTATTCTGAGATTCGATGTGCAAGATATTCCGCTATTTGATTTCACATTCAATTTCAAGTTGACAACCAATGCTTAATTGTAACTTGTGATTTTGGTGCTTTAACTTTTGAAGTTGTTTAATATATATTTCGCTACTTGATTTTACATTCAATTCCAAGTTGTCAACTAATGCTTAATTGTAATTTGTGGTTTTAGCATCTAAAGCTTTAATATTGTTTAGTATATTCGTGTCTAGTATACTTACATATTTCACTATTTTGATTTTATATTCAATTGCAAGTTGACAAGCAATGCTTAATTATAATTTGTGAGTTTATGCATAATATTTAAATTTCAATTAGTATATTCATACCTTGTATGATAGTGCGTAGTATAGTCCATTTCAATTGCTTATGTAGCTTGAGATGATCCCTCAGTTCACCTTACAACATAGATGCTAGGAAGAATGATCCTTTGTATTGATCTATGTGAAGCTTGCATGACATTTGAAACTTTAGAATATACGCATGCAGTTCTTCCTACGAGTAACTTATTTACTCACCCTAGTTATTTGGGATATTTCAGGTACGGAAACCTTGTTTTGGGATGCACAACATCCCTAGGTTGGCGTGGTTACATTTATGTCCTTTTATGTAATTTTACACACATGCAAGTGTTAGCATGTTTAAATTCCACTTTTAAAGTTGTAACGAAGAGCTAGGTTTTAACATGTTTTTATCTCAAAATATGTAAAGTGTGCCTAAGTACACTATTTGGGATCCATTTTATATGTATGAAGTGTGGCCAAGGGCCAAAACGTCTTTTGATTACATATATAGACTTTAGTTTCATGTTTTTCCTTTAAAGGCAAGTTTTGTGAATATTGAGGTTTGACATGTCATATTTTGCATTGGGGGTATTTTGAGGTCATGGACCATTCTAGCGCACTTAAATATCCATCTTACGTTTGTATGCCTGATTGCTTTTGCACACAACACCATTTTTGCAAAATCTGGTTTAAGGGTATTTTGGGGATTTCTTTTGAAAAATAAGTTTCAGCCTTTACATGGTCACTTAGAAAATGTGATTTTAGAGGGGGTTTTCTCACAACATTTTTTAAAAAAATGTCATCTCGGTCTCGAAAACCCTGTGTCAAAGTCTGATTTTCTGGTGCATACATTTTTCAGGAAAAAGTCTAATCTAAGGGGCATTTTGGGTATTTCACTTAAAAAATTAGAACTCCTCTTAATATGGTCACCTAGAAAACATGATTTTTTTTTTTTTTGAGAAGGGTCAGTTCATAACTTTTTTTTCCCAAAAAAATGCCATATAAGCCCTCAAAATCGCATTTCAAATCCCAAAATGTGTGCAGCCCAATGGCATGTCAGGGGGGCTGGCTGCATGCACAGCGCACGCGGTGCGTGCCCACAGGTACCCATGGTGCCCTCCTTGGCAACTTTAACACCTCGTTTTCATTTAACCATAACTCATTCATCCAGACTCCGAATCAAGTGATTCTTGAGTCTAACTTCGTTAATTTTTTGTCCTCTATCTAATGGTATACTCAATTGCATCCAGTTTTGTTTGAAATGACCATTTTATCCCTGATCAAGTACACTTCCCATTTTATAATCTTAGCTTCTGCATTTGATTCTTTTGAGTCTCGTGGTTTCTCGGGAAGTCACGTTGGCGTCTTAGGGATAACGAGTATCTCTAGAGACTTTCTTTTCTAAGTGAAATGACCATTTTGCCCTTAGGGCCATACTTGGTCTATTTTCCACCATAGCATCTGTTTTCATTCTTATTGAGTTTCGTGACTTCAGGGAAGGTCACTTTGCCGTTTTAGGGATGATATATATTCCTAGAGGCCGTGTTTATGTTTTCGCTTTCACATTCGAGATCCGTTTTCGGATCAACCTTCGGATTATCACAGGACGCACTGGCTTATAAAACCAAGGCTGTCACATCACATAACAAGAACACTATAGTTGCAGCCTGTGTAAATGCAATGCAACCCTAAAATGAAGGTTGTGGTGCAATGTAGTATCACAGACATATTTAATTTGTTCATACATGTATGCAAAAAGATTAAATTACCTTTGTAAGTGAATCACTTTGTCATTAAAAGAGTAAACATATCAACATGAATAAATTACCAAATATATCCTTAGTGCATCCACGGGGAATGTGATGGTTTACTTTTATAAGTTCAATTCAAAAATGTTAAATTGGTAGTGTTACAAAAAATAATTTTTTTTTTCAATTGGAACTAGGGGTGCACACAATTAAGTTTTGACTAGTTTGAGAGTTTTCTGGAACCAAACTGATCTTAACGGTTCTAGAAAATCTAGAGTCAAACCAAACCATTTGACCAAAGGAACCAAGCCAAACCGTGAGAAACCGATTTGGTTCCACGGTTTCTTTTTGTTTTTTTTTTCTTTTTCTTTCCCTTCTACAGAAGTATTCATATTTCAAAATCCAAATGCATAACAATAAACCAAGTTAACCAACACATTCAGAACTAGTAATAAATTCAAAACTTTTAATTCATTATTCTCTGTCACTTCTGAAACTGAAGTGAATAAATTCATAATTGCTAATAAACTAATACATTCAGAATTACTAATTCAACAACAAATAATAAGGCACAATTCATAAAACCAACAAAATTCAGCCATTGTAAATTAATAAAAAATAATAATCATTTAATAAATTGATAAGACCTAAAAGAATTAAGAGTCGACCGTATGATTGATAGTTGCTATAAACTTCTAAGTGATTTAGATTGTAGGATTAGATTTTATATACATATATATATATATATATATATATATAATTGAACATAGATATAACTAAATAGTTCGTTTCGGTCTAGTTCGGTCCTAAAGGACCTCAAACCGTATCTTTACGGTTTAACAAATTTAGAATCATGATCGAACTAAACTGTTAGCAAACTGAACCAAATTGGGTTTGGATTTTCAGTTTGACTGGATTTTTGTGCACCCCTAATTGGAATAGTCAAACATGGAGAGGTGAAATTTTTTGTCGGGAGGGAAGAAGTAATATGGAGCACACTATTGTATATAGCATCAAATCTTAATGGGTCTAAAATTTTTATTTTGTAATGCTTCAATATCGAGAGTGTAGTATTATTGATCAATTAAATAAGTTATTATTTCTTATTTATCAAAGAAAATAATAATTAGTTTTCATTATTTGGTTTACTATAGGAGTAGATATAGGGTGCGAGGACGTATCAATTCATTGGTATGCTAAAAAAATCCACATATACTATTCAAGTTGATTGGTCCTACATATTCATAAAATTTGGGATAAATTACACTAACCTCCATGAGATTTGGGCAAATTACACAGAAGTAGAGTGGTTGACCTTTATTACTTTGACCTTTCATGAGATTTGACGCATGTATTCAATGACACGCCATGTCGTTAATAAATTTTTTTAAAAATGACTAAGTTAACCTTTTTTCTTGTGTTAAAAGATCTAAATAATCTTATATTTTGACGTAAAATGATAGAAATATTATGAAATGCCATTGAAATTCAAATTATCAAATTTCATAGTATTAAATATATATATATATATATATATATATATATATATATATATATATATATTTGTTAATGACATTTGATTAGGTTTTTTTTTAGGGGTTGATCAGGCTAATATAGTGTTTACAAGAAGGGAAAAATATAAGCATGAAAGACATTGTTTACTTTTAGGAAGGTCAAAGTAATAAAGGTCAAACGTTTTATTCATACATAATTTATCCAAGCCTCAAACGAGGATAGTATGATTTACTCTAAATTTACTTGAATGTGCATTTTAATAACCTAGTATGTCCCGCATACCTTATATCTAAGGGTGAAAAAATGGCCCGCGGCCTATTGGGCGGCCCAAACCCGGCTGGCTTTAGCTTGGCTTGAGCCTGTGGAGGGCTGCCCAGCCCAGCCCAGCCCTAAAAAATAGTGGGACTAGCTTGGGTATAGGTCTTGGCCCACAACCCGGCCCATCAAAGGCCCGTTAGCCTTCCCACCAAAGCTGGTGATACTTTTTATTAATTTATATTTATATATTTAAGTTACTTGTGTTAAGTTTTTCATTTTTTACTTTTTTTTTAATTTTTATTCTTTTACTATTGAAATTCCAAACTAACTATGTAAACATTTTTTTTTTATTTTTTATTCATGGCCCATATTCTTTTACTGGATTCAAACATCAGTTAGTTTGGTCTTTGGAACATAAGTTAACTGTTTTAAAATTTCTAAGACTCAAGTAACAGGATTTTACATAAGACTTAAGTTTATTGTTTTAAATTTTCATGATTAAGTTTTAAAGTCCAAGTAAACAAAGTAAGGTTTGTAGACTTATGTTTTATAGTGGAGTGTTTCATATCAAATTCATGCAACAGTAGCATAATGGATTACTTTACAAAAAAAAAAAAATAATAATAAAAAGCCTGTAGCCCAGCCCGTTTTAAACCAGTAGCCCACCCGTCTTGTCAAGTCCAAGGGCCGGGCTTGGGATCTCTAAAATGCATTTAGGCCCGGCCCATTAAAAATTAAAGCCTGCGGGCTCGGGCCAGGGCTCCCAAGAACGGGGACTGGGCCAGCCCGGCCCGGGCCGTTATGCACCCTTACTTATTACAGATCACCAATGGTCAACCAAACCGTGAAGGCTAGGTGTGAGTTAACTCATACTGCCCTTCCAATTCCGAACCAACTCAGCCAATGCAGCACGTGAGGACCCGCCTTCGCTCATTGCAGCCCTCGCCTCCTTTCTCTTTGCCTCCGCTTGATTCCTAATCAACTTCCCTTCCTCCGAGTCCATCAACTCTCTGACTCGCTTTTCCACCTCGGCCGCACTCACAAACCCATAGTCAGATTCGGTCATCGGCAAGGCCAGCTTCAGTTCCTCCACCAACAACACCCTATTGATCCTCTGCTCCGCATAAAGTGGCCACGCCACCATTGGTTGTCCCGCACACACCGCTTCCAGCACAGAATTCCACCCGCAGTGAGTGACGAACCCGCCCACCGAGTCATGACTCAGCACAGCCACCTGGGGAGCCCATGACTTCACTACTAGCCCTCTCCCTCTTGTCCCCTCCAAGAAGCCATTAGGAAGTAAGGAGTCCAAATCGGGCTCGGGTGGTGCCAAGAAACGCCTGCTTTGGTCCTCCGAAGGCGGACTACGCACCACCCACATGAACCTATGCCCACTTCTCTCCAGCCCAATTGCAATCTCCTTCAGCTGCTCTTTTGAAAACAAACCTAAGCTACCAAAACAAAGAAACACTACGCTTCGGCTCGGTTGGGAGTCGAGCCACATCAAACACTCATGCTTGCCACCATCGCCACCACCAGCTCCGTCATAGGTTGCAATCAACGGTCCTATGCAATAAATTGTTGGTGTAGGTCCATCAGTAACACAAAGGCCTTCCGATATTGTTTTGATGACTCTAGACTCAAGTGATTCAAATGTGTTTACAATGATTCCAGCTGATTTTGGCATGTGGATAGATGTATTCAGAACATTTTCATAGGCCTTCTCAGTTCGATCGAGTATCGGCTTTGGCATGTCAGTGGCTAGTATTGGTGGCACCCCTGGGATTTCAAGATAAGTGTTGTTCAGATCTTTGAAACTTTTGGTTGTGTTTCGATGGATTGTGGGCAGGTAAATGAAGGTAGCAAGGCAATAGGCACCAGAAGTTTGGAAATAATAAACAGGGATTTTGAGGTCTGCTGCAACAGACATAGCTGGGGTACAAAACCCGTCTATGATAAGGGCATGGACAGTAAAATTCTGGGAGATGGATAGGAGGGCTTGGTGGACATGAGGGTTGTTGAGGCGGAGGAAATCGAAGGCGAGAGTTTCGTGGTGAGGAGAGGAGGATTGGAGAGGGAGAGAAACTGTGGGGAGGTGGTGGAAGTTGATGGGAGTGGTAGCGGATACACGGTTGATGTAAGGAGTGGTGGAGCCAGTGTTGTAAGGTGCGGTGGCGATGAGGATTTCGATGGAGAAGGAAGGGTTTTGGCTGAGTATAAGCTTTCCCAGCTCCACCATGGAGATCAGGTGGCCAATGGCCGGAGAAGGATAAAGAACTATGGCATCCTCCATGGGTGTGTGTACTGTGCTTGAAGTAGAGAGGAGAGAGGAGAGAAGAATGTAGGGTGTACATTTTTTATTTTTATAAGCAAGATAATGTTATAAATGAGAAAATGTAGACCAAACAGGTAAAACCAAAACGCAACATCAGACAACAATCCAAGTCACCATATACCAGCTCGTCATTTAAAACCAACCACCACAATAACCAACTAAGCAACTAAATCAAAACCCAACATCATACCACTAAAAGCAGGGCAACCAATTTGCCAGCAGACTACTACTCAAGAAGCTGCCGCTGCCACATGCTTCTGAAGCCGTGGAGGTAGATCAAGGCATTGAATACTGGATGGAATAAACGGCATCGCCTTCCAGCGAATATATAATACACTGCACTAGAAACAATCAACTACCCCACCACACTACTCTGTTTTGGTTTTGTAAAGTCGGATAACGTGTGAACAATTTGGGAGATTTAAATTTGTCGATTTGATTTCTACGTTAGCTATTGACACGTTTAAACTGGTTCAACTAGAGTGGTAAATTTGGACTTTGGATACTATCAAATTGAGCTGCTTCAAGTGAGATAGTGAGTTGCAACACATATGCGCAACAAAGTTGAACTGGTTTAAGTTAGCTGAACCGGTTAAACTTTCGTGAGAAATTATATGATTTAACTTATGTATATGTTTCAATTGTGAATTGCCATTGACATGACAAATTGACCCTTATACAAAATAATAATAATAATAATAATAATAATAATAATCATAATCATGCATTTCTTACAGACTACTAATTTTGGATCCAAACAATTTTAAGAAAGCAAACAAACCTTAAGAAAATATTTTAATCCCTTTCAAGCTTTGAAGCTTGTTCTGCAACACATAACCTCGAACCCTAACTAAGAAACTAACTTTAGATCAAAAAATAATCAATTCAAAATACTAGTAAAAATGTATGTTTACGAAAACTTTTCTCTACCTTATGGTCCCTGCCTTCATTGTAAATTGCCATTGACATGACGAATTGACCCCTAAAAAAAAAAAAACTCGTGCATTTCTTATGGACCACTAATTTTGGATACAAACAATTTTAATAAAGAAACAAACCTTAAGAAAATATTTTGATTCCTTTCAAGCTTTGAAGCTTGTTCAGTAACACAACCTCAAACCCTAACTAAGAAACTAACTTTAGATCAAAAAATAATCAATTCACCTGGATGTGGTGCGATAGCCCAGTGGTAGGGCATGTGTTGCTTGTGACCAAAGGTCCAAGTTCGAATCTCCACTCCATCAATAAATTAATATATATATATATATATATATATATATATATATATATGATAAATTATTAAATTATTTAAAAAACTTATATAAAAATAATAATAATAATAATCAATTCACCTTGCAAGGTATTTAGATTACTGTGAGGACTTGCATTTTTATCATTTTTCGGACATGTTGGCATTTATGCATTTTATTTTATTGTCGGGATTATGATTAATTGCAAATGTGGTTATTTTATTTAAATGTCATTTAATTATTTTATGAGGGGCATTATTGATTTTTTTTTTTTTTTGTGTAAATGGCATTTATTTATTTTGTGAGGGATATTGTGGACTTCTTACTATGCAAATGGCATAATTGGCATTTGGTTGATTGTTGGAGGTAATGTGGACTTTTAATTAAGCAAACGGCTTAATTGGTATTTGGAAATGTTTAAGGGATGTTGTGGAGTTTTCCTAAGAAAAAGGGCATAGATGGAATTTGATACATGTTGATGGGCTTTTTGGTCATTTTACTTAGTTCACCTTTTGACTATATGTATGCTAGACACCTATGTGTACACTAAGCCTTATTACATGATTTTTTGCAAGGTGATAGATACAAAAACATAATTTGGCATAATACTATTATTCGTTCCTTTGGTTCTTCTTCATGGTCACTTATTTTATATGCAATTTCAAGGCTTTTGTGTTGGGATATTGGGAAGAGTTTGAGAAGGAAAAATGTTCCTCTAGTCATACTCTTCATTTTGATATCAAAGTTGTGGTCATTTCTTAACTGCTGGGATTTTAAAAGTGGGTTTGAAAGAAGAGGTTTGGTTGGGTGCATAGAAAGGTTGTTCTTCCATTTTCATCACCTTGTTGGCTTTGATTCATCATTTGGGTGGCTTTAAATTGTTGTAGCAAGGTTTTTCAAGCTTCTAAGAGGTATGATTGTCTAACCCTCAATTCCTTTGCCTTTAGTGAATTAATTCTTTCATTTTGAGTTGCAAAGTGCATAAAAACTAAACTGAAATTTTGTGCAAATTCTAAAATTGTTTGCCTGAAATTACATGTTGTTGTATTCATGTAAATTTAAAATTTATCTTTTAAAGATGAATTGATATTATGATAATATAGTTAATTATCTTTCATTGAGAATTGATTTCACATAATTTAGTTAAGAAATGAATTTACTATGAATTCCTGAAGTTAGAATCATCTTGTTGGAAATTCTGGTTTGGAGGTAGAATTTCTCCGAGTTTTCTCATCAAAACTGCTTTAAATGGTAAGGTATTTTGGTAAAGTAAAATTTTATTTTTAAAATATGGTCTTTAAAATTTCAATGGTTTTTGAATTCATTCAATTTGGATGAGAATTAAATTTTTCATGATTTTTCAAAGTTGGAAGCTACAGGCTAGAAATTTGTTTTCTAGGTAGAATCTAATTCGAAGTTGTGGGTCAAAACTGTTCCAATTGAGAAAGAATTTTGTTAAAATAAATTGATACTTTCAAATTATAGTGTTTAAGCTTTCATTGGGCTTTGGAATCACTCAATTTAATAAATAATTGAAATCGTTATGAATTTTCAAAAATAAAGGTAACAAGTTAAGAATGAATCTGTTTTGCAGATAGAAGCTTTGGTGTGTGACACAAATGTGCATTCATCTTGCATTGTCATAGGGATGAGGTTAGAAAGGAAAGGGAAGTGAAAACATCTCATTAAATGGTTTGGGGAATTGGATAACAAGGAGGTGCCTTGTGTCTGTGAGGTTAGGATGTGGGAATGAATAAATGATTTTAAAAACCGAACAATAAGGAGTTATCTTATGTCTGTGCAGTTAATGGAATCTAGAGAAGACGTAGGAGTTGCTTACGTGTAGTTGTGTCACTAGGCCCCAAATGATCACAAGGAGTTGCCTTGTATTAGGGATAGATGACCAATTCTCTTTTCGTGGTTCTAGGGAGATGCCTCGGGCCGGGTTTCATTAACTTTGTGATGTCGGGGTGAGGTGTTGGAGGAGTGGGAAGTGGGATTGGCATTGGCATTACATTACACTTCATTTATTATCTCATATGATATTCTGCTTTCCCAAACTTATATGATCCCTTTATCTTATATATGTTCTATGTGTAGATTCAATGAGGCATTAAGGAGTGCATTTTAGGCAACTCCCACTGAGCTGTGGTTGCTTATTCCTATTTTATACACATCTTTTCAGGTCATGGCATGGATGGTGTGGAGGATATTCCTCCTCAGTTGTAGACAAAGTCAAGGCTAGTGTTGTGGTGTTTTCATTTTTTATAGTAAACAATGTATAGCAGTAAGACAATGTGTTGTATAATGTTGTTTCAATTCATTTCTGGCATGTAATAAATGTTGTTTCAGACTTAGAAACTTTAAAATTGAAATGGGAGCATCTTATCTATTTAATTTCAGTTATGGTTTTATAATGGGATAGATAGGTGAATGTGGTTGAGACAGGTTACAGGAATATTTATGATCATGAGACTGTGATTGTTAAGTGTGGAATTTACAATCCAGAATACGGTCTTGGGGCGTGACAATTACCTCAAGCAAAGATTGTCTCTTTAAGTTCATAGATTGATTGAATACATGAAATTGAACCCTAACAAACAAATGGTGTCTCAATGTTTAGAGATTATGAAATTGATCTTTCATTCTTTTGACATGCATTTGTGAAATCAGAGCTTCAGTGGCAAAATTGAGCCCTAACATCCATAGGAATAATGAAATAATGTCTCTATTCACTTCAAATTGAGCTTAGTCTCTAAATGATCTCGAAGTGGAAAAGTTCTAATAGATGAACACACACAGACTTGAGATGTGAATTTTTTGGGGCAAACAGAGAGAAGCTCAATACATTTTCTTGTGAGGTGGCACTTCATTATAAAAACATGAAAAATGATCAAGAATGTGTCCCTGGAAGTACTGAAACCAAACTATACTAACATCCACCGCACTGACTAATCAACCATATAATATAGGGATTAAAACGAAAACAGCCTTGATTTCAACTACCTAACTACTAGTGTTTAGTACGGTTCTGTAGTGACAATTGATAACTGAAATGGATGTTTCATCAATTGCATGAAAAATGAACAGAGAAACAAATCACAATTCATAACCAGTTACGTAAAAAAACATCATACAAGGACAACATAGATTAGCAGAAAATAGATAATTACCATGCCCCTGTTAAACCCAGGACTGTTCTGATGTTCAAAATGTCTAGTAATTTTCCTAATGACTTGCATCTAGAAATGTCCAACAATTCTAAGAGTTTTAGTTCTTCAAGTCCCCAAATCTCAGTATTTTTCTCACACTTACAGTGACAATGTGACGGCCCAAGTTTTTCAACCCGGTGCGTCAGTGATGAACCAAAAGTTGATCTGATAACGGATCTGAAATGTAGAAGAAAAAGATAAAACCCAAGTCTATAGAGAAAAAAAATCATCCCCAAGACACCAATGTGGCCTTCCATGAAGTCACGGAACTCAAAGAAAGTAAAAACGGAAACAAATATCAAAACGGACAAAATCTATTAACCAAGGGGCAAAATGGTCAATTCATAAATAAAAAGGAGAACCTTGACTCTAAAAAAGTCAAAAAAAGGTGAATAAAACCTAACCTAGTCATTTCACAACATTCCAAGAAGTTCCAAGAACATTGGCCAAGAATCCCACAAAACGCCCCTTCCCAGTTAAAGTAAAAACTGACACTACCTCACTAAAATATAAATAACTCCCACTGTAATTTGAATATGAGAATGGCATTGGTACCATTGGAAATCTAACTCAAACTCCATGAATTTAGGCTCAAGAATCACCCCATTTGGATTAAAAATGAAGGAGTTATGACCATTTGAAGTTGGAACAACAGTGTTTAAACAAAACTGAAGAAGCAGCTGAATGAAGGCTATTTCGGTCTACTG